AGGTAGACCATGAAATTGAGGCTAACCCAGCAAAGTTAGTGAGACCCTATCTTGAAGACAAAATATAAGCAAAAGAGTGGGGCGTGGCTCAAGTGGTAGAGCAATTGCCTACCATGTGGGGGGTCTTGGGTTCAATCTCCAGTACTGCAATAAATAAACAATTAAATAAAATATTCTGAATGGGTGCTCCTCGATTTATGATGGAATTACATTCCAGTAAACCAATCGTAAGTTGAAAATATCATAAATCATGCACAGACCCTACTGCACAACCCAGCTCAGCAGCATAGCATACTGCAGAGAACTGGTTGTTTACTTTTGTGATCATGGAACTGTCAGCTGCAACTCAGTGCTGCTGCCCAGCATCAAGATAGAGAATGGGACTGTATTGCTAGCTCTGGAAAAGATACAAATTAAGTTTTTGAAGTCATGGTTTTATGCACTGCTTTCATATCACCATAAAGTTGCAAAGCCATAAGCTGTCATTAAGTTAGGTACCATCTGTAAGTTCCCCTTCCCTCTATTTGAAAAGCCCCCAAGGCCTAGCCTGCCTGCAGCCCTTGAGGCACAGGGCTCAGTGGGATTGGCTCCCTCTTCCAGGAATCTTCCCAAGACTCTTTAGGCATCTCTGAGGTTAACCACCTCATACCATAGCCAACTGTGCATTGTCTTCATAGCTCTGCTGAAGTTGGTGGCTCTCACTGTTTATTGCTCAACTGTAGCACCTAGTGTAGCTCTTCATGATAAGGGATAGGTGCAAATGAAGGGCTGGGCTATGGAGCCTCTCCTGGGAAAAAAATCCCAATGTTTCCCAAATTCACACACAACCATGTCAGGGGATGAGAGGCAGGGCTGCTGTCTCCTTTCAAAATCCATAGGGAATAAGCCTGGACTACAGGCCCCACTTAATGATGGATGATGAGATGTCTCTGCTACTGAATGGTTGAGCTGACCTAACATTTTTCTCTCTGAAGCTGTTAAATTAACAAAGGCTACGAGGTCCTGTTTGCTCAGTGAGCATGGAGTCAGAACCTTGGGAGTGGGGTATGCAATTTGAGTGAAAATGGCAGCAGGCCCTGTGAGGTTTTCATATCTTTGTCTGGTGAACGGCTTTCGTGGCTGCCAGGCACCCTTTCCAGTTGGATTGTGACAAAAACTGACTACGTTTCCTCTGGGCCTCTTTGCTACATTTTCATATGCCTGGCACTGGCATTACACACGCGGGGAGCATTGTGCTGAGACTTCACAAAGACCGTGATGCCACTGCCGACAGGAATTTTTCAATTCAACTACAATCTACAGGACTGCTGACATCTGTGCAGTCCATTCTTCACTGACACATTGTCATGCAGTACATGGGAGTGGTTCTACTGAGTTCCAGAGGTAAGGACCCAGCATTTTGAGGTCTACCCGGAGTCAGGTAAATGGGCTCACAGCAGTCCACTGAGCCATGACCTGGGCTAGTTCACGTAATCGCCTTACCTCATTACTCAGCTAGCAGATAGGACGATGGTACCCTCCACACAGACCTCATGCCTCCTCGCTGCACCACCTCTCCACACAAGTTCACTTAAGTTTTACAGAAAGGAAAAATGACTGTTTGCTAAAAATCCTTTCAGCTCAAATAATGTACATGGGTGTACATATAAGCTAATGGGGCAATAAAAGCTTCTTTCAGGAAACGTGGTGGCCACAACATGCTGGTGGCCAGCCCTTGCCAGTTGTCAGTCTGTCTAACATGGGACAGACATACCTTTCTGGAGGCCCCTCCTGTACCTCCATCCTGTGCTGCAGAGAACAGCCCCCAATGGCTGCAGCAACTGAAGACCAGAGAGACAAGAGCAAGGTCAGCAGTAATGCTCATCTCAGAGTCCATACCAGGTATTTTTGGTTGACAGGGACTTCAATATGTATAAGAAAGGAGGCTGAGTCATTTTTAGAAAGTCTCCCTATATTTCCAGGAAAATAGGCAACTAAGGGGAACCAGAGACCCAAGCTGATTTCTGTGTCTGCGTCTTACTGCTGAGCAGGCAGATATCTAGTGTGTGCTGGGCGTGGTTCACAATTGATGTACTGCTGACCACAACTCCCTGGTTTCCTTGCTGGTGTAGCACAAGTGGGAGAAGAAGGTGGCAGGTGTGAGTTTTGGGGCTGCCTGTGGTCACACAGGCAGTGCCTTTCAAGTTCTGTTTAAGGCCAGGGCTAGGCCTTTCTGCTCAGGTCGCAGCTTCTGCCCAATCCCAGTGACCCCACCATCTAAACACACTGCTTCTCCACATTCATTTTTATTTAAAGACTCAAAAACATAGGCATCATAATTTGTCACCACTGTCAATTCTTCCAAAATCACACGCTGACATTGGTGTATAACAGAAATATTGTGTGTGTTTGTGTGTGGGTGTACTTGTGCAAACTTAAAAGGGTTTCCCAGTCAGTTGGCTGGTTATGGGGTGTCCATCTTGGCATTCACCCCCTGCTGCCTGCCAACCCATCTGCCCCCTTTATCCCCTTGGCTCTCTGTGGCTGGGCAGTCCCGTCTCCTTGATATCTGCTGATCTTACTAAAAAAAAAAAAATCATCTTCCTGCCAAATGCCACTGTGAAGCTAGGAAGTGTACACTGTGGGCCAGGATGGACTATGAAGGCTCCAGACAAGGTGTGGTGTTTCATCTCAGTAGCCACAACACATGTGTCCTTGGAGACAAGGTTTCCTGAAGGAAAGGGACCTTTGTTCTTGTTCTCATCTGTGGATTATGTGGTTGTGAAGGCTGAAGGGCCTGAATGTGTTAAAAACACTCAGATGATTCCTGGGAGCTGATCACAAACTTCCCTTGCACAGTCTTTACTCCAGGAACCCTGCCTGAGAGCACACCCTTGTGCTGGCCAGGCCTGTATCATTGTTCTCCTTCCCAGAACAGTTCCAATTCCCATTCCAGACTCTGTCAGTTCAGGGGACAGTCGATGTCTTCTAAAGACAACAAAGTTGGGAGTTTTCAGCCAGGTGGGGTGTCACCAGTTTGCTATCACTGTGAGCACCATGTGAGCAGTGGATGGGAGAGGAAAGTAGGCCCATATTAGTCTATTCTGTTACTTGAAAGCTACCTCCTTTAAGAGAAAAAGACTGTTTTTATTATCTGAAAACTGAAGTTAGGTCTGGTTCCCCTGGAAAACATGTGTTTTACCCAAGGTGTCACTATGTGCAACTGCTTGGTGACAGCACAAATTTAGATGTGTACATGATTTTTGTTGCATGGGTGAGCAAGTAATTTGGCAATGATGGTGACTAGATATCTTCTGGTTGTCACTAACCTACCATACAGGGTTCCCTCTGTTTAAGCCAGATTTTCTTTGATTCAGAACAAATTTCTCACATCCATTAAGTGTGTTATCATCTGGAGGGAGGAAAAGGGATGTTCCTGATGTGATTGCCTCATGTGGTAGCCACCTGGAAGGTACAAATAGCCAAGTCACATCCCCAAATAGGAACTCTGAAAATAAGCAGACCCCAATTCTAAGGTTTCATTCCAAGCAAGAGAATGTGTTTCTGAAATGTGTGGCATCCCTGAAAACCAGGGACACCCTCTGGTGTCTGAATAATTATCCCAAAGGCTAATTATTCAGCTTAACTTAACTCGAGTGTAGAAGGTTACAGATTGCAATTTCTGAAATGATAAAAATGTATTCCTAAGCAGTGAATCTCCGAGACAAAGTTGTTTCATGACAGGTTTTTTCAGGTCAGTTTGCTTGGGAAGAGAAAGTTGCACTAATGAAAATATATCTGTCAACCTGACTGAAGGACAGTCCCAGGATCAAGGCCACCCCTTCCTTCTCTATCCCTTCCCAGCTGCAAGTCTGCAGTGAAAAATCAGAGCCCTATTCTCATTGTGCCTCTGCTCTCTAACAGATTAGGCAGGCCTGATATGGAAACATTTATTTTTAAAATAGAAAAAAAAAAAAAAACCCTTTGCAAGGTGGCGATCTGTGCTGTAGTAAAAACTGCACATTTTGACAGCAAGAAATCATGTTCTGAGAACACTAATTGCACTCACTCTCTATGAAGCAATAAAAGGAAGTTTGTGCCTTGCTAGGATGCAGTTGACCTGTGTTCTTTTTACTGCCACATAAAAGGACAATTGGAGTAGCCCTCCTCAATATGTTTCTAGTTCTTGAATAATAATCATCCCTGTCTAGACAGAGCCTGGGGTTTGGTGAAGGTTTAAAGAAATTGGCTGTTTTCAACTCCCTCCAACCTACCTCAGTGGACTGCTTGTTCTCACCCCACAGAGCACTGGCCAAAAGTCTGATGCTGAGGACAGGAGCTCCTCAGCGTGCTCCAAAATTCATATATGATAAATGGAAACCCCTGCACTTTGATGTCATCTTTTTTTTTTCAAGTTCGCCCAAGTCATTGCTAATTTTACAAAAAGGCAGCACCAGATGTATGAAAAATAGGCAATGTCTGACCTATTAGAAATATATAAAGTCTAACACCTGTACATTAAAAAGATGTCATAAGAAGGAAGCAATGCAGAGTGACAGTGGTAGTGACACAAAGGTGTTGCTTATAATCCTGGCAGGAAACAAAGCCACGGGGATTTTATTCTGGTACCTAACAGGATCCCTGTAGCAGGCCTTCTGAGACTTGGGTGAGCCCCCTGGATCATAAACACCCTTTCTGAGGGGCCAGACATTAGGTGACTGAGGTATATAGAGGGGTGACACCCAGGGCAGCCAGGAAAGACACTCCTTACTGCTCTTGGCCCCACTAACCACCCCAGTCTGCATACTCCATAGTTCCCAACCTTGTGTAGGTGGCAAGTACCGCTTGGCTGCTGGATGGCACAGCTGCATGTGCCTGCGTGTGCATCTTCTCGCCTATGGTTCACTCAGAGGGCATAGACATGGCCTTGAAGTACACCCCTGGCTGTGCTCGTGAATGGGGTTTTGGATGAAGGCGTGGCCACACCCCAATCCCTACCCCAGTCCAAATGTCCCAGGGCCTCAGAAGCTCTCCACGAAGCTGCCTGGGAAGAGTCCCGTGCGGCCATTCCGCTGCAGGGTCCCCTTGTACCAGCCGTCCTCACGTTTCTTATGCACAAAGACAATGTCACCTTCCTTCAGCTCGATCTCCGCCTCACTCTGCGGAGGGTAGGAGACCACCACACGGTACCTGGGGGGACAGACAGCACAGTGCATGAACCCTGGGACAGGCTGCACTTCCTCATTCTCTGCAGCCTGCCTGCTGGCTGGACTGAACCCTATTCACTCCTTTTCTTCTTCCTCCCCTTCATTAAGTTCTTGAGATTTGGGGTTACCTTCCCCACTTTACAACATTTATATTAATCTTCATTTAAAAATTTCCCCAAACTCTTTTTCATTTGCATTTAAAAAACTTTAGAAGAAATTTCTCTTTTCCCTTTTAGTCACAGATCTAAAACACCACAGGAATGCTTCTTTTTTAGCCCCCCAGACACCCACATGGGCCCGTCTACTTCTTATCCTCCATCCTGCCCATCCTTGGGATGCTGCTTCAGTCCCAGGATACAGGTTGGGAACTCAGGTTGTCTCTTTTTGGCTTTGTGGCCCTGGGAGCATGCTCTGAGTGTCAGTTTCTTTATCTGAAAAGTCAAGCTTTCTCCTGTACCACTACCTCTCTCAAGTGAGCCCCATGTGGGCTGTCTTGGTCAAATGGTAATTATTTTAAAATGTGCTCCTAAATCATAAGATGTGCAGCTTCAGCTTCATTTTTCCAACATCTCATTTCTATAAGATTTGGACACCACCTATAGTTTTCAAGACTTCCTTTACGTCCCTGTTTTCAGAACAGTATGACATGCCCTCTGCCTGTTGTGCACCTGGAGGGCATGCTGCAGGCTGGAGCTCTGACCAGGTACAGCTCTAAGGACCCTCTGGGCTGGAGCAGGTACCCCTGGGATGTGACACCAGGGTTTGAACCTCTGGTTGGCACCTTGCCAAGGCCCCAGAGCTTCTGGGTTTGCACAGGTCAGGCCCAAAAAGCACTTATCTTTGACAATATTCTCTTCTTCACTTAACTGCAGTCAAGGTCCTCTAAGCCTCTTCCCTATCAGGCCTCACTTTGGTCTATAAAGACTTTTGGTCTATAAACACTAACACAGTTTCTAACAGCTGAAGGCTGAATCTTAGCCCCCCTCAGTGTCCTTGCCTGAGAAACCTCAAAGTTGCCAGGAGAATTTTCTGTTTATTTCAGGAACACTTGAGGGCAGGGTCTGTCTCAGCCTCCATGGAGGGCAGGACCCAATTTGACACCAATTATCAACCCAAATGGGTTTCACATAGACCAATATCCCTGCCCCACTTTCTGCAAATTTTAACTGTCTACTCTCCAGGGTCCCCTTCCCCTACTCCTCCTGCTCCCTTGAAAATGCCCAGTTACTTGTGTATGAACCAGAGTTCAGTTCATGCTGGACACTTTCCTACTGCAAAAGTGTATTATATTACTGACTGCAATCTGTCCAAGGAAGCAGAACAAGGTTACAGGGCAGCTGTGCTCCCTGAGGAGCTTTCTTCTCAAATACTGCAGGGCCAACCAGTGCCTCCCCGGGCTCTACTTCAGCCAGCTCAATAGGAACACTTGTCTGCACCCCTAGCCTGCCCTCTGAAGGAAATCCAGAGGGCATGTGTCCTGATAACTGACTGGCACTGCACAATTGTGCAGCAAGAGCTGAGAGGAGACCACCCCTTGGGGGCAGCGGGGCCTCCCAGTCCAAAGTCCAGATCCTAAATGCTATATGTAGGTTTCGTGTCAGACAGGATATAGCCATTCTCTCTTCCTGAAAGTGGCAAGCTGAAAACTATTCCAGACACCAATTTTGTTGAGGTGGCCATGTCAGTCATCCAGGCTGGCATGGAGGGTCCTTAATACTTGTGCCCCTGTGATATCTTCAATGACACTGGAGCTGCCTGAGTGGGGGTAAACCCAGGATGCCCTCTGCACATTGCCCAGTGAACTCTGCATGGGTATCACTGTGGGCTCCTCCCAGTCCTAGTAGTTATCCCAGAAGGGCTTGCTGTCTTTTGCATGCTTAGTAGCATATATCCCCTCTCAGCACCACATATATGAGAAAAAGGAACTGGCAGATCCTTGGCCTCCTCTGCCAGAATACTCCAGAGCCTCCCATTTCTCACAGTAGAAGGCCAAGTTGACAAAGGACTTCTTGGTCCTATCCCCCTTGTGCAATTGTGCCATTTTATATTCTCCCACCAACTCTCTCATTCATGGATGACCCAGTCCACAGAAGCCATAGGTCATCTTGTTCCCCACCTGTCTGCCCATCCACCCTCTCCTGAGGGCCATGGCAGATACTGAAAGTTGAAGAGTCCATGGGGGTTTCTCAGGTAGAGCAGTTCATCCATAGCCTGCTCCCATCAACAGAAAACAGCTACCTGATGCTCCAGAGCTAAGGCCTGCATCTGCATCACCACTCTCTGGGATCTGCCTCACCCATCATATCCTAGACCCTCAAAATCCTGCTTCTGGACCCAGCTCCTCTTGCACACCCAAAGAGCCTCTGAATCCTTGATTTATAAAGATTTGGCACCATCCCTGGCCCTCTCAGGCCTCCTGGCTCTTTCTGAAGAAACCCCCTTTGAGGATGTGAAGATTCCTGACAGTTGGCACCTGGCTGGAGGAAAGGGGGATCAGAGGGCAAAAACATGACTTTACATGCTCATTCTCTGAGGTTCTCAGCCTGGACTAGGGGATGAATGGGGAAGCCCTCTTGTGCCCTTAGGGCAAACTGAGCTAGAGGAGAGGCACAAAGAAGACCTAGACTCAGTCATGGGGAGCTCACAGATCATGGCCCATGGCCCCACCTTGCTTCATGCAGGTGAGAGCTGGAGGAAGGGTGCTTCTGAGGTTGACCTGGTGGGTGTGCAGGACTACTATGCCCAAGGAATCAGGGATAGCCAGGTCCAGAGAACCAGCACTGAGGACTGGCCAAGGCCAAGTGCCTTGGAATGGCTATGGGTGTAGAAGAGCTAGGTATGTTCTGATAATCAATCCAAAGGCAAACCAGAAGCTGGCTGTCAGGGAATGGGGGAGGAAAGGAACCAGGGTGCCTTGCCAGTCTCCTCCTGGCCCAGTGTCTCTGCAAAGTCTGCCTGCTGTCCCCTCCTTGAGGAAAGACAGATGGCTGCTGAGACACAGCCTGTGGTCTATGAAATTAGAGAGCCTGCACACAAACTGCACTTTTCACACCCCTCTGGTACTGAGGCTATATGTGTCCAAGGAGTAGTGTCCCCCCTACCTGTGGCTTCCTGCCATTCTCCACTCCATGTCTGAATACCTGCTCATTCTCTGTCTTTTCCAGAGAAAGAAAGGTAAAGGGTGAGATGATTTTTCAGACTTCTGAGTGCCAGTTTTGGCTTTTGCCTCAATTGCCAGATGTGAAACAAACAAGCAGCTTTAAAAATGTAATTTGTTGGAAAGAAGTAATTTAATGCTTCTGAGCAATTCGATGATTTAATGAGCCCAGATGGATGTGAACCGAATTTATGTAAGACAAGCATTTAATGTTTCTGACAAGATCATTCCAAGCTTCTGAGCCATTCACTCTGCTACACGAACATAATTGATACTCTCTGTTATAGACACAAAGGGCTGTGTGAGCAGTTGAGGCTGATAGCTACTCCAATGTGATCATGGCTTCATAAATCCATGAGAGACTCTGCCTGCTGAGTATAAATTAGGTTATGCTATCTACAGCAAATATTCATGTATAGGTCATAAGGAATCCAAGTGGTCAAAATCAGAATGAACTCTTACTACTATTGAAATTAGTTCTGTGTAGGAGTTTAGAGTGTCCTGGCTTCATCTGGTACCTCATCAGGTATTATTATCCCCATTTTATGTGAGATCTGGGGCTCAAAGAAGTCAGGAAACTTGTTTGGGATGAAATGGTAGGCAGGTGGCAAATGTGTCTGTTCAAAGCCATTGTGCACCATTGCTGAGGTACTGGAGATCTCAGCAGGCTGGTGGAGGGGAGTTTGGTACAAGGTGGCCTTTCTACTGCATTTACTTTAACAGGGTTGAGAACAACTGGTCCCTGAACTGGTGGCATGTGGTGATTACAGAGCAAATTAGAAATGACAAGACTACATCTATACACTGGACACTACGCATCAACACATGCACAGATGCTCACTCCTCAGCTTACAATGGGGTTACTCCCCAATAAATCCATCATAAATTAAAAATATTGTAAGTAAAAAATGCATTTGATATATCTAACCTACAGAACATCACAGACAGCCTAATCTACCTGTAGGTAGCCTACAGTTGAGTAAACTCATCTAACACAAAGCCGGTGAAGTGTTGAGTATCTCATGCAATTGACTGGAAACTGCACTGAAAGTGAAAAACAGCACCATCGTAAAGTCAAAAGTTGAACCATATAAGGCAGTTACCATTTGTACTAATTGCCCAGTACTTCTGTAACCAATGCCCACAAACTTAGTGGCATCGTACCACACCAGTCTGATCTTATGGTTCTGAAGACAGAAACACAAGTCTCACTGGGCCAAAATCAAGGTGTCTGCAGGTTTGGTTCATTTTGGAGGCTCTAGTGGAGAAACTACTTCTTGCCTCTTCCAGTTTCTAGAAATTGTCCCATCCTTTCTCTGGAGGCCTCTTCTTCTTCCTCAAAGACAACAGGTTGAATCTTCTCATTACAATGCAGGCTTCTCTTCTGCCTTCTACTCATAAGGACACAGATCCCACCTGGAGAACCCAGGACTATCTCCCTATCTTAGAGTCATGTGACTACAAACCTTAATTTCTCTTAATTCCATAGAAGGTAACAAAATCATGGCATTAAGGGATTATGCTATAGACATCTTTGGAGGCCATTATTCTGACAACATAATGAGTCAAAGCAAAAGTTGAAATCCTAACAAAGACAACTCACAGGCCAGCAAGAATTAAGAATGAACTAACCAGTATATAGAACCCATGGAGAAAAAGACTGGGACAGTCAAAAGTGAGGGAGGAGGCAGTATTGGGGCATCATCATCACTATTACATGAGTGATGACATATATATTTTCATATAGATCACACAAAACTATTGGGTGTTTATTGCACACTCACAATTTTTAGGTGTTAATAATATTACTAATATTATACCAACCAGGCAGGTATTATCTCCATTTTATGTAAGTGGGAACTGGGACTCAAAGAAGGAAACTTCTTCCAGATGAAACAGTTGGTGGGTGACAGGTGTGTCTGCTTTCTCAAAGCTGCTATGCACCTTGTTGAGGTACTGGAGATCTTACCAGGATGGTGGAGGGGTCTGGCCTGCACCAGTCCTGTCCAGGGTTGGTATAGCCCTACTGGGAAGATGGGGCAGTAGACAGTTTTATCCCAATGCTATTTGACATTTACATCCCATACCTACACTTCTATTATGATATCTCCAAGTAACTTTCAGGACTTTGGTTCCCCATGCACATTGTCCACAAGGAAGGAGTATGCTCAGATGGTCTGAAGGTTAAGACCCCTTGGAAGAGACTGGTAACTGGCCCTGTGGCTTTACACATTAGCCTGTGGGCCTGGCGCATCTGTGAGACAGTCCTACTGGCAGCCAATTAATAGGAAAGGGCTACTGAGTTGTGAGCCTGCAGGCCTGACCAGACTGACCTGGGGGAGTTGCCCAGGTATGATCCCTTGAATGGCTTCCCTCAGGGCTCCCTCTGCGGTACCCTGAATCTAAGCTTCCTTTCTTTGAGAGCACTGAGGAAAGCATACCCAGATCCTCCAGAGAGAAACGGTTGAGACCCTGCAGAGTCTGCATATAGGAGTTTCCCAAGAGATGTAGGTAGCATGTTTTCTTGAGCCCAGCCCTTACTTCCTCAACTTTGTGAGATGTACACATCCGTTCTGACTGCCTTGTGCTGCTCTCCTGCCCATATTCCAACCTTTGAAACCACACATGGGCCTTGCATGCCTCAGGCCCTCCATGAAAGTGGGCACAAGAGCCAGGGTGCAGGGAATCCATGAGGAAGGACACTTGTGGCCACATCCCTGCTGTCCCTCTTCACAGAAAGTAGCAAAGTGAGTGTTCCTTACAGTGTGCAGGGCCAGAATCCAAGTGTCTTCTGTACCAGCACTGTCATGGCTTGAGGAGCCACCAATTCCATGGTCACCTCAGTCCCAACCTGCTGAGCGCCTCAGACACCTGGTGATCTGTGACTTCCAAGCTGAAGGGATTTGTCAGTAGTTTGGTATCAGCCTGCATTTTACAAATGTTTCTTTTTAATGAGCACACAGAGTGCTTAGGGACAAGGAGGGTGCCAAGACTCTCTGTGCACAATAACTCCCTGATTAGATGCAATATTTTGAGAATCGCAGTGGTTCTCTGAATTTGCTAATCAGAGACTCCCTTGATTTTTTTTTTTTAAAGAAGAGAGCCTTTCATAACCACTTACTGAGGTTGTAAATCATGACTTAAAGTTAGTGGTCTGGGGAGCAGGAATCCCAGGGAAGACATAAGAGCAGCTGTGAAAGATCTAGAAGCCTGTAATTCTCTGGAGCCAGCATACCAATTCTGTTGCTCAGGACAATGGACCACAACCCATGTTCAGAAATTGCTGGCAGCTGGTGTTGGCCCCATGAAGGGAGAGATGTTCTGAACCAGAGGAGCTGCCCCAAACTGGAAGAGGCATTTTTGGGAGGGAAAGTGAAGGAGTTGGGGAGAGGGGAGAGAGAGAAAATGGGAACACATGTATATGTGAAAGTATAGTGTGTTGTGTGCATGTGTGGGGGTGCACACAACACACTATTTGTGTTTGTGATTGAGTATGGTGCATTTGTGTGGTATGTGGATGTGTGTATGTGTTAGTATGCTGTATGCTGTATGTTGGTGTGTAGAGTGTGTTTGCTGTGTGTCTTCGTTATGTGTGTTTGCATGATGTATGTGGTGTCTGTACAGTGTATGTGGTGTATATTGTTCATATGGTGCATTTTATGGTATGGTGTCAGTGTGATCCAAGTCACCTAAGGGTCTGAGGACTCGTGAGGAAGGCACATGATGTCATGCCTGGCAGGGCACACACCCACGCATTGGACAATGAGGGCTGCTGGGCTTTGAATGATTTGGAAATGAATGCTGACACCTCCCCGGGCTGGTGGGCAGAGTGGGAAGTCCCACTCTGTTCTCAAGCTGGAGACTGTGGTCCCTTTGTAGCCTTGTGAGCTTAGGCTCTGTGGTCAGAAAGCCCTCAGTTAAATATCTTGTTCACCTATTACCCGCTGTGTAACAGTGAGCAGGTTTCTTAGCTTTTTATGAAACCTCAGTTTCTTCATCTAGAAATGGGGATGCTGAACTCAAAGGGTTCATAAACAGGATTAAATGGGATAATGCACTTAATCCACTCATGAGAAGCTGTGTGCAAAGCCTCGCTGTCCTGGGGTTGATGGCTGGAACCTATTCCTAGCACAACTGTTCTCAGAATGCTGCACAGAATACTCAGTAGATGTGAGCCACTTGTACTCTAACAGTGGTGTAAAGACAGACTTGAATTTTAACTGGTCACCAGAAATCAGTAACTGCAGCTAATGCTCTTCCTCCAGGGCCCTCCAGAGACTGGTTCTCCTCATGCTGTCCCCAGATCTCAATACCACCCTATGTAGCACTCAAATGCACCATCTAGAATTGTAGCTTGTGTGATCTAAGACCTAAGAAGGTTGGTACATGTTGAGACAGTTAAAAAAGAAATCCAAAAAGATTTCACAACATAAAAATAGTTATATGACACCTAAATTTCAGTGTCCCTACATAGAGCTTTCTGAAAACTCAGGCCTTTTGTGTACATTTGATCTATGGCAGCCTTCCCACTACACAGGCAGAGCTGATACATTGCCACGGATGTCGTATGGCCCACAACACAGCAATATTCACTATCCTGTCCTTGACAGAAAATGTGTACAACCTCCAATCTAGATAATCAAGATGGAACCTCACCAAGTAAGTAACCTTGCCTGAGCAGGGCTCTGGGAGCAGTGCTCTCAGAGGTTAGCAGGTGCTCAGGCTGCAGACTGGCATGCTGACTGGCTGAAAGGATTTGAGCAGAAATGCCAGGATTTCTTTCTCAGGAGACTATTCATGTTTTATTATTTAAACAATATTTTAATGTCCAGGAACTGAGCAAGGACAGTATCTTTCTGCCATTTCTCCACCATGCCTTTCAGCCTTTATCTGAGAGATCTTATTTTATTTTATTTTTGAGACAGGTTCTTGTAATATAGTCCAGGGTGGCCTCAAACTCAAGATTCTATTGGCTCACCTTCCTAAGTGCTGGGATTACAGCTGTGAGCCACCATGTTTGGCTTCTGAAAGTGCTTTTAGGACATAAACTTGAATGGGCAGATTCATCCAGCAAAATCAAAGGCCCTGGCCACCTGTGAACTCAGGCACCCAGGGCCCCCACAGGCTGCCATCTCATGGCTCAGTTTCCAAAACTCTAACTCTAGGCTGAACTATATGATATTGTTGGTTTGAGTCAAAAATGGCTGAATATTGGCAGATTTGAATAGTTCAACCAATAGACTATAACCTGGAAGCTACCTTTGGGGTAATGTTTTATAATTAAGATGTCATAGCACCCTCAGGGTCAAAAAATAACTGCTCTCTGAGTGAGGCACATAGATCCATGGGGGACTCCCTGCAAGAGTCCAGTCCAGGATTCCCCAGGTTGAGAAGCACAGTGCCCTCACTATTTGTTCTCAGAACCACATTGGTTCAGATAAATTTCCTGATGAGTTCCTTACAGTTACAAACTTAGAAACCAGGGGGACTGGAACCACAAAATATGCTCCAGGTCCTCACTCATTGTATTTGATGCGTACCACCCAAGCTCAGGAGCCAAGTGGAGCTATATAAAGAGGAATGTCTGGCAAACTTGACCCTCAGGGAAACTCTGTTATCCTGTTCCCCCAAGGGGACTCCACACCTCAGGGGCTGCCTGAGGCTGCAGGGATGCAAGCCCACACTTCCCCTTACCTCTCTCTAGGCAACGGCTTGGGCTCGGGGCGGATGGCAGCCATGCAAAGAGGTGCTTGGCGGGAAGGGGACAAAGAGAAGTTCAGATCCAAAGAGCCTGCCTTTCTGTGCAGTGGCTCCAGCCCCATAGCCCCCTGCATCTCACTCTCTATGGGGCAGGAGCCTGCCCTGCCAAGGATGGACAGCGGAGACACTTCGGGGCCCATGGCGCCCTGGAGGGAGGAATCCATGGCCACCTGGGAGTCGTGGGTTGGAGAGATGGACGGTGGGGAGCGTGACTTCTTCTTGGTGGATGCCCCAGCTAGAAGTTTCAGCAGCCCACTCTTCTTCTCTTTCTGGAGAGACACAAAGGTTGAAACCAAGTGGGTTAATGCTTCTCAGAAGAATACCATCCTATTTAGAACTTTAAAGATATTTCTGCAAAGCTGGTCAGAGGAAGAAAACAAAGCTGAGACTGAAGCCTTATTTCCCTTCCTTTCTTGAAACCTGGCAGGAGTATACCAAACCTTCAGGAGTATACCCTGAATCACTGGGGCAGGCCACCAGGGCCTTTCCCTCCGTGAAGAATGATACACAATACAAAACTCTCTATCACAGGGCCCACCAGCCTGGCAACTTCACAGTCTGTTTCAAAAGAGCCTGCAGTCAACACATTTTCTCCTATACAATGAAAGACACTGTTTCTGGTAGGGCTTTGCATGAAGCCAGGGCCATGGGAGGGCTGGATCATTTGAGGAGATCCCCAGAGAGGCATGTCCTGCTAATGTCAAACAACTTTTTCAAAAAATGATGGGACTTGCAGCCTACATGGCCTTGGCATCCTAACATAAGATCCCTCATCCCAAGGATGCGCACATGCCTTTGGGATAGTTTAATTTGGAAACTCTAGGCAGCATTTTATGTAAATATTCCTTTGCACAAAATGACATGTGTGTGTGTGTACATCTGTGTGCTCACACTTCTGTATTTCTGGGGAACCACAGTCTGGTTGGGTGCTGATGGACTAATGGGGCACAGGCAGGAGATATGGCCAGAAACTCTAGCTATCAAGATCTGTACCTGGAAGTATTGCTCGCTCTACATGTACAGGAAACATTGCCATATGAGAGAAGTGAGAGCTTACAAGTTACATCAAGAAAACACCATGTGCACACATACACATACTCTGAAACTTAGTTATACTCCACTTTAAAACAGGCACCATATGGAACACTAATATTAAAAAGAGATTTTGGGGGCAAGGGATTTGTTTCAGTGGTAAAGCACTTACCTAGCATGCATGAGGCCCTGGTTCCATCCCTAGCACCACAAACAAACAAGAGAGAGAGAGAGAGAGAGAGAGAGAGAGAGAGAGAGAGAGAGAGAGAGAGAGAGAGAGAGAGAGAGAGAGAAATAAAAGAAAAAGACTTTTGAAGTCTTTTCATACTGCATTTACCACCAGAAAATTATAAGGCATACAAATGGTAAAATAGTACTTTTGAGTATGATTAAGACAGGAGCTTCCCAAGGGACTTTTACTGTTCTGTTTTTATACTGTTAGGTAGTATAAAAACTTGGTGAAAGGAAAAAAAATTAAAGCTTAAATGAAGATTCACTGCAGCTAAAGTTCAATCAGAAGTTATGGGAAATTCTCTGAAATTATGAGGAACAAAAGGAAAAGAATTTGATTATTAGAAAGTAACATTAAAATTTTCAGGGACACTGTGCATTTCTGGAGTTGCTACCTTCCCTTTTTTTTTTTTTTTGAGGAGATCTTGCTATGTAGCCTAGTCTGGCCTAGAACTTGCAATCCTTAAGTTTGCCTTATCTGAGCACATACCTAACACTGGGCCAGATACATATAGTTGAAAGTAGGGAGAAACAGACTCACTTTGCAAAGCTTAGTCTTGATAACTCAGGAGACCCTCAATCTGCAGGATCCCAAACTGAATACACTAGGTGATAGTCATATATGCTTTTTCTAATACTGGAAGAGAGGCTGAAAACTTCTTAGTTTTGAGGATAAAGAACCAAATACAATCACACATTTTCACTCTGCTAGGTGCACACAAAGACATTTTCATGAGCTGAGATTGGGGAGTGTTTACAGGTTAAAGATCAGGTCACATGCCGACCCTGGTGACCTGGGAACACTTTCAGCCTTGCAGGGAAATACAGAAACAGATTATCCATACTGCGGATTCTGGTTCCTGGGATGGGCAGGAGGCGAGGCAGTATTTTAGTTTTGTTGTGCACATTGTCTTATTTGACTTATTACTTGAACATGTTTCTTTTAATTTAACATGCGAAACATTAAAGAGGGAAAAGTTGCAACCTGCTGCTTTGAACAGGATGGTAATAGGCATGACGAAACAGAAGAATTTTTGCTCTTGATTAGCTTATAAAGCAAGAGCTGACCCCATAGAATGGGCAGCTGACAGAGGCGGGGAAGGCTACAGCATGGGCTGGTGTGGAGATAATGAAGAGGGTGGACTGATGGGTGACACAGTTCAGGGGAAGGGTCAGAGGTGTGGAAGGAGAGGATCTAGCAAAAAGCAGGTGGCAGCCATTGTGTGGGGCCTTCCCAGTGAGATGCGGAAGCAAATGTTGGGACACCTGTGACTCCTAAAAGGCTGACCAAAGCATTGCAGTACATGTGGAGGCATTGAGATGGAGGAGGGAAAGAGTGTGGGGGAATTGATGTGGCCTGGAGGTGCTTCTGAGGAACTCAGCATGGGATGGCAGGGCAGCTGATGAGGACAGTCAGCCATAGGAAGCTTAGAGGGAAAATGGCAAGGAGAGGGCAGGTAAAGGGACATAGAAACATGGAGCTGAGCTGAGTGGCAGCCATAAAAATGCCAACATAGCTGGCATTGATTGGCATAAGGATAGCCAAACTCTATCCCGTCACCCTCTAGCAGTCTATTGGATAATCTCAGTGTTTTGGCTGACTTTGCAGACAGAATGATAAGAATGGAAAATGAGTTTATAAAGAGGGTCAGGCAATTCACAGAGCTCATCCTAATCTGTGAGCTATCAGGAACGATAAGTGGCATGTGGCAGAGGCCTAACAAATAGCCCAATCTCATTCCCCAACACCTATGAGAAAGACCCTAAGCTGCAAAGTTAGGAAAACTGGGCAGAGGCTGATGCACATGAACTTGGCATGACAAACAATGCTGGAGGTTTAAGAAGCCTTGAGACATTCAAAAGAAATAAACAAGGACTCAGGGAAACACGATGTCCTTATCTTTGTTGAGTCTAGTTTCAAGGCAGCAAGTTATACTTGGATGCTTTTTGATTATTTTATGTTTGGAAACCTTTCTGTTGGGGATGGGGAAAGGATAATTAAAAGTTATGTTCTGCTAAAATTTTAATGGAGAGCACAGCTCTGCTTTTGCTTGAAAACACACTTATTAGAAGAGTGGAGTCTGCAGGAATATAAATATGCTGTGCATGTCCAGAGATGGACAGAAGATCCACAACCAATAAAGAGAAAGAAGTTAACAAGCCAATTCAAAGAGACAGAAAATTGTGTATTGAGCTCTTGTGTATTTTAAACATTAAAGTACATCTTTAAAAGTATTCCCTGGCAAAAGAAAGAAGATAAAAAAAGACTAGTTTATAAATACAATGCGGAATGGGAGGCAGTGGACAAGTGTTAATCTGTGTTTTCTTGGGCTTCTATTTTGGATGGAAGAGATGCTACAGCCTCATATTGTTCTTCTTGCATTTATCAGTGGTGGAGTTTCACTCAGTGCCCTTCTGCTTGTGGTTCTGTGCCAGGCACTTTGAAGAGGGAGTGAAAGGACAGAACAAGCAGGTGTTTGTCTTTCAAAATAGAGCTACATGCATCTCAATCGGAATAGTTTGCTGGACTCAGAACCAGAGCAAAGAGCAAAACCAGCACTGCTCTCCCTTCACCTGGGTAGCAGCATCTGGGAGTTGGGCCTGATAGTGGGCTTGGATGATTGGCCCAGCCCACCACAGTGTGAAAGAGCCTCTGAAGTGAAGTCTCCCTGAGGAACTCCAGGAAGATAAACAGCTGTGTCACTGTGGTCCATCAGGAGCACAGATGGGAGCTAGGTTACCATGTAATTTATTAGTTGACTGATTTCAACTAGTAAATTACTTATCTTCTTTTAGTCTTGGTTCCTTCAGATGTAAAATGACTATATGATTATCTAAGTATGATAATTATGCAGGCAACTTTTTCTTGAGAGTTCACTATTAACCAAGTGTTGTTCTAAGTCTTCTCCATAAATTTTTTCATTTAATTCTTAAAGAAACCCTATAGGACAAATGGAGGCTCTGAGATGGTAAACAGTAAACATAAGGCAATCAACTAAAAAGTGGCACAATCTGGATTTGAACCCAGGACTTGCCAAGTCCAAATTTATTTTTTTTGGCAGTTACTGGTATTTGAACTCAGGGCTTTGAGTTTGTTAAGCAGGAGCCCTACCACTTGAGCTACTCCATCAGTCCCCTGAGTCCAAATTTTAACTATGAGACTTAAATAAGACATGCAATCCCAAGAAGGCACTATATTAGTGCATTTTCTGTTGCCATGACAAAGTATGTGAGTCTGAGTATGTATAAAGAAGAAGTTTATTTACCTTACAGTTTTGGAGGCTAAAGGAGCAGGTGGCCCCATCAGTTCTGCCTCTGAAAATGGCCTCATGGTGACTGGCACCATGGCAGAAGCAGTGGAAGAAGGAAAGATCACATGGTGAGACAGGAAGCCAGAGAGCTTCAGGAGCCAGACTTGTTCTTTTATAACTTACACTTGTGGGAACCTTGTGTCACAGGGAAAACACCTCCCTCACCTGAGCTTCCTCAAGGGGGGATTTGGAAAATTGCTTTCTCAGTACTGTTGGGAGGCTACTGAGAGGCACATGCACAGCTCATGGCAAGGTGCCCAGCACGTAGTCCACTCTCAGTATAGGAACTGCTGAAGCTCAGACTGGAGGCCATGCACATCGAAGCACCCCACTCATGCATCTGGCACTTTAGCTAGCACTCATTTCTTGTTAGCGCAAGTCTGATTAAAGGAATTACAGGATGTCTGTTGTATTTTATTTTTTGAGGTCTGAGGAAAGAACCAAGGGCCTTGCACATGCTAGGCATGTGCTCTGCCACAGAACTACACCTGCTGCCAGCAAATTCTGAAGACAGTTCACACCCATGCCCTGACATTAAGAAACTCTTAATTCATTTGGGGAAAAAAGAGGGGATGAGGTTTGGGGGGCTTTATGGGAGTAGACTGTGCTTGGCAGGCTGGTCTGTAATACCCTGTGTGGGCATGGCTGGCAATGGCTGGCCTCAGATGCTGGTGGGAACTGGAAAGCAAGACTCC